TAGATAAAAACGGAGCATCTACCATTTTCACCATCATAAGTATCATTTGACCCTTTCTTTAGTGAGCACTTTAAGTATCATTTGTATTAGGGGCCCAACTTGAATGGTTTGAGCATTTGTTAAAATGTTTTAGGGGATGACCTGGTCTTGATGCACTGTAAATTCTTAAAATTGGTCACATGCACCCCTAATTTGTATTCTCCAACAGACGGGTTTTGATTTTTCTCGATTAAACTTTGGAATATTTAACGAGTTCCATAGGGAAAAAGTTTCAGAGAGGACAGCTAATGCTACATTTATTTCCTTGATTCCAAAGAAGAATGGTGCTGTAGAGTTGAAGAACTTCAGGCTGATTATCTTAATCAGTAGCCCATATAAGTTGTTGGCCAAGGTGTTGTGAAAGAGACTTAGAAAAGTGATGCACTAGGTGGTGGGTGAACCCCAAATGACATTTGTGGAAGGGAGATGGATTCTGGATGGAGTTTTAGTGGCAAGTGAATGCATAGTTTCTAGATTAAGGAGTGGGAGGGCGGGGTTAGTTTGTAAGATTGATATTGAGAAATCTTATGACCATGTGGAATGAAGTTTTACAAGAGATTTGTCGATTAATGGGGTTTGGAAAGAAGTGGAGAACCTAGATGTTTCCATGCATAGTTTCTTTTTCAATTCTTATAAATGGTGTCCTTGGAGTTCTTTTCTGGATTCATCAGTTTGAGAGCAATTCCAGCAAAAATTGAGTTGTTAACAGGTTTGAAGGTGAATCTGTTCAAGAGCAAGTGCGAAGAGGCTTTCGAATGCAAAATTGGGGAGCTTCCTTTCGCTTATTTGGGGATGCCGATTGGGGGAACTTCCAATTCAGATGCATTATGAAGACCAATTCTAGAAAGGATTGAGAAGAGATTGGATGGGTGGAAAGCAAAATACCTTTGCTTAGAAGGGGGGGATAACATTAATTAAGACTATACTCTCAAGCTTACCATCTTATTATTTGTTTTTATTAAAGGTATCACCAAAAGTAGCTGAAAGAGTGGAAAACTTTCAATGGGATTTCTTATGGGAAGGGGTGGGAGGGAGGGGGAGGAGGGGATAAGAAACTTCACTTGGTAAAATGGGAAAAAGTATGTAGACCAGAGGAGAGGGTGGGCTATACGGATGGCAATGGGGCGGGTTTGGGGAGGATTTTGTAAATTCTAGGCCCTACCCTTCTCCCTATGCTTCCCAATCCATACCTGCCCCAAAACCTGTAATGGGTTAGATATTGAGAATCCAAACTCTCCCTACACATGAAAATGCAAAAGCCTTCCTAGCCCTACCCTCCTCACATTCAAGGGTAGGGTGGGTTGGGTTTAGAACCCTCATCTAATTTCCTATTATCTCTTGTTATATATAAACAATAAGTAAAATAACATGAGCAAACAACAAAATTTCCAATTATTTGATTACTGTTAGACAGTGTATGCCCTTAGCTCCAATCAGATTGATGTACATTATGACATTTATTGTAAATGAATAAAGTACATATTTGATTCATATTATTGTGGTGTGTTTCTGTTCAATACCCTTAAACTAGACACTTATGAGACTCGTGTTAGTTTAGAATGTTCACAGCCGTTGGATAAGTCTGGGGAGATTTATCCTGCCAAGGCTGACACTGATGTATTGCTAAGTGTTGGGGTAGCCTGTCTCAGCTGCTAGGGTGAGACCCGAGGTACATACAGTGTAGGTTTTCTTGAAACCCTGAACCGGACCAGAATTCCAGTATTGCCCTGGACCTTAGTGATTAGTGGGCAAAACTGGAATGTTACATCTGACCCCTAGACTCGATTATGATACTGCACTAGGTGTCGAATTGGGCTGTCTTTGATGTGCCAATCAGTGAGATCCTTAGAGGGGGTCAAAATCTGGGTATGTTGGGACAGTCCGAGAATTCATCTGAGTGGGTGATCATAGTGACAGGATCAGCCCTTTTGTTGGACAAAGGTAATGATCGGGGATGCACTCTCTCTGATGGAAACCAAARCTRCCGGCARYYRATTWCAATCGTTGAAATTTGTTTTGCAAAATATATTTATATATATATATTAT